ATATATATATATATATATATATATATATAGAGCGGTATACCGAAATATGTTGCTCGGTATACAATACCGTACCATACCGAATAAGTCTTGAAATTTTGATACGGTATGAAATTTCAATCCTTGACATAAACCATAAAATTTATATAAAATCATAAAATGAAGATTGCCAAATAAATTTTAAAAACCGGACATAAACCTTTACATCTCATTCTTTTACCCAAACTAAACCTGATCGATGCTTTTGTTGTGCCAAGTCTTTTGTTTAATGAATGTAACCAGCAAGCTGTTTGGGTTATTGCTATTGCTTGATGAATGAATTAACTGGAACTTTAAAATCATTACAGAAGCAAGCCCTGGGCATGTGCAACATTTCTCATTTATGCTTCTTCTGCAAATGGAAATGATTATTTGACATTTTGATTCCTGTGATAGTTTGTTCTGCTTGTTTCTTTGCTTCTTAGACCTTTAGTAGATAGTGCTGGTGTCTCTAATTTGGCCTTTGCATTGCTATGTTTCAAAACTATTCATGTGAACTGCTCTCTGATTTTATCAAACTTAACAATTTGATCATGCATTAGTTCCTGAAAGGTCCATGCCCATGATATTTTCATTTATGTCTTTAATCTTATGGCACTAATTGTTATTACATGCATTTTTAGTTTTTCATAGTTGCCATGCTCATGCCTCCATGCCTATACATTTAGATAAAGATATATTTTAATTTTTTTTACAGATAGAGTATTCGGACCAGCAACCACAACTCGACATGTCTATGATGTTGCTGCGCAGCATGTTGTAAGCGGTGCCATGGAGGGAATTAATGGTATCTTCTATTATAATTCAAAGTTGCCTTTCGGATGAACTTCAAATAACAATTGCATGTCTGTTATGCCATGGTCTGAGAGCTATCTGATCAATTTGATTGTGGCTATTGACTTGATGCATGAAGAAAGTTTCTATGCTTCAGACTCTGTGATTGCAACATATTCTGAAACATGATTCAGTGATATCATTGCTGAACTGCTTTCATCTGTTTCATATGTGTTTTTGATAAAATAAAAAATCATCTACTAGGAATATAAAGGCGTTTAACAAGAAGCTCTGTCCCTATTTTGATTTGGTCTTATATATTAAAATCTGTTGAATTTTTCTCCTTAGCAATTATGCTCCATCCCTAATTTGATTTGGTCTTATATATTAAATCGGTTGAAGTTTTTTTCCTTAGCAACTATTTATGTTACATTCAACTATAATTTGCTGCAGGAAACCTAAGGATAATATTCTTGTGCCCGAGGGCATTGCTACTCTTGGACAAGCAGTGACATTGGGAAAATACAATAACTTAGTAACTAAAATGTAAAGCATTGTTAAAATTGTTCTACTGGAAGTGTATTGTGACTTTTAATGATATTGACTTTGTAGAATAATGATGCTGTAGACTGAAAGTTTGTATCTGCATTAGATTGGTTTCATTATCAAAGTTTTATCTTACAATAAAAATGAAATTCAATGCCTCCAAGCTTTTTTAATTTATTAATTTCATATGTGATGAAAATTCTGTAGTTTACTGGTTTGATTTCAATGTTCTATCCAATGATTTCTTGATGTGGCACACCAAGCTTTGTGGTCTTTCATTACGGGACCAGTTGTTCCAGATGCATTTGTTTCTTGCACTTTGATTTTCCATAAAATCTTAGACTCAGGCAACTATTGTTATACTGGAGAGTGAGCTATGGTGTCACAATTTCATGAATCTGTAATGCTTGATTATATTGCAGGTACTGTTTTTGCCTATGGTGTTACTAGTAGTGGAAAGACTCATACCATGCATGTAAGTCTTTGCTGCATTTATAGTTTTTTTATCTTTTAGCTTCACAAAGACTTTATGATCTTTGACCCTTAGTGAAATAGGATCTGGTACATGTGTTGTTCCTTGATGGACTTGGAGGATTCATAAGATAAAGTGTATTTCTTGGTCTGAAAAGTATGCTTATGTTATACTTTTTTACTCTGATTTTACCTATGTAGGATTACACATTTTCCTTTTACAATTTTATAGGTTCCCCAACCACCATTCTGGTTTTCCTCTCTTGAAAATTTTACCACTATTGAAATTTTTGAAAAAGGTGAGTGGCCTACATATTGAAAAAAAATCACAAAGGCTATCATCCTGGACTTGGAAAAACCATACAAAATGGACTGTCTAGACAAACTGTAACTTGGTTTTTTAAACCTTTTAAATCAAGCTTAGTGGTAAAAGTATTTGGAATTTCTATCAAAGTTGCAAACAGCATATTCTATCACAACCTCATTGTCCAAATTATGGAAATGGTTTGGTTTAGTGTTGGGTAAGTGTCCCATGCATCATTACCACTTGTTGGTTTTGTATAGGTCAAGTTCCTTATGCATCATAATCGCTGTTGTCGTTTGTTTGGACACATTAGATTTTCTACTGCACACTTTAGCTTTTATTATTTAGTTGACATCTTTGGTATTATTCTGTTATCTTTAACATGGAAGATTGTTTCTTTGTTGATCTAGTTTGTATTTCTGAATTGTGCTTGCTTGTTGACTTTGGTTGCAACATTAGTTGACTTAAATAATGTGACACATCTGTCATCTCAGCACATGATTGATCTGTAGCATGGTCAATATGTGGTTCTTCAAGATGCTCACCAAATATCTTTTTTTTTTCTGAGAAAACTTTGTTGTATGATTTGTTAGAAAAACCATGTATTCTGTACCTAAATATGCAATTTATACTTCTCAGAATACTGTGTCATTTTGAAAATATGGAATATTTGATTAGCTATCTAAGATGTTTATAGACAAAATTTTGGAAGAACTACTTTGACATGTTTTCCTTTTCATCTGTATGATTAAGTGAATGTGAGGAAGTGAGAATTCGATTTTTAAGAAATGATTCAATCACCTTCAAGTTTAGGTCAGTTTCAGGCAGTGATTTCACTTGACTCTCCATATGTTGTAAGTGATTAAACACAACTAGAAGTCACTTTTAGGTGGCCACTTCAGTGAATTTAATTAACTTGCCTCTTCTTGGTGTCATAACTATTAGAAAGTTATTTAGAATGCTGAAATTTACAAAAAAAATAATATTCAAGGAAACTACTGTGTTTAGTAAGAGCTAAATAGTATGTCAGACAGTTTCAATTTCTTGAACATAAACATAATGACTAGTCGTTGCCATGCTTTTCTTGCATGTTGGATTTCATACATTTCCTTTTACATATTAATGCTTGAAGGTTGAGATAATTTTGATATAGGTTTACAGATAACCAGTGACAACTGAGTATGCAAGTATTCAAATTTACTAATTGTTGAAGTTTTTCCTACTCATTTATGAGTTAAACTTAATTCCTTTGTTCCGAATAACATCTTCTGGGAACATATGATTCATTCTTTTTCGAAGATGTTTGTCTCCTAATGTTGGCTGGGTCTAAGTAATGCTTCTCCTCTATTTCTCAATGATGATAACTTTGAATGAATATTTTTGGAATTCTTTAGCATTTCTTTAACTGTTCTGTTGTCACATGATTATATGATTTTGTCGGTTCAATTTCTGCCATTCATCTATTTTACCGTACTTAATGACAGTAAAAGATCCATGTAGCTGACCTTCGATAGTTGAGACATTACAATGTTGTTGTTATTATTTTCTTTTGCTACCCCTAAACAATCATTTTGTTATATTCCAGGGTGACCAAAAATCACCTGGTATCATCCCGTTGGCCATTAAGGATGTATTTAGCATTATTCAAGAGGTGAGAGATGTCTGTATATTTGGTTGATCATGTTTGTATGCGCTGTTCTTTTTAACTTATAGTTCTAATTTGTTTTTCCATCTCAGACACCCGGACGAGAATTTCTTCTCCGTGTTTCATACCTTGAAATATACAATGAGGTAGCTTTTTTCTAAGTCTGTATGAATGGTCATTTATGAAGCTTTTGTGCTAACTTGTTTTTGGTGCTAACAAGCTATTATGATTTCCACATTTGAAAAATTTTGACGTCTCAACTTGTTTGGTGATATACTCAAAGGTGTTTGGATAGTTTGTTCTCTTTCTCTTAAATACATGACAGAGGAATTATATTTTTTGTTTTTCCCCATACATTATAGTTTCTATGTGATTGCCATTGGATTTGACTACTCACATCACATACGTGTATAAATCTTTTTCTTTTTGCCAGAAGTAACAAATACTGTTGTAAATAGGGTTTTAAATTTGAACTGCAGGACCCATATCAGATCCTTACTAAATTACAACCTTTATTTCCTGTTACTTGGTACACAAACGAGAAAATATTAAAAGATTGTTTGATATGTCTGTACTGATTGATACATTCCGTGGACCAATATACCACCAGTATGGTTGTTATTGGTTGGTATGCTATGATATTTGAAGCCATGCATATATTTCTGTTTTCTGAATGTCTGTACCTAGGATTTATTAGGAAGATATGCAATATGACTGCTACACTATTGTTGTTACTTTGAGAGTTTTTCCCGAATGGAAGCAACTATGCTTTAACTATATTGCATGCTGTAGAAAAACAATTTATTAATCAACTCTTGATTCAAATTCAAGAATACAAAGTGCTTATGAGTATATCAGAACTTTATCTGAAGCTGTTTAGAAAAACTGTAACAGTTAGCAATTCTGGTAATGAGGACAAGACAACTAACTACGTAATAAGAAGGATTCTTTTTCATAAATACAATTTCCTGTTATTGTACTCCGTATCGCGGTTGATGTTTGAACTGGAAGGTTATAAGAAACTAGGAATGCTGACTACTGAAGAAGAATAAGGATGTTACCTTTTGCTTCTAGCTCTTTTGATCAGTGCTGCTTGTTGGCTGGATTTGCTTCTTTGACAATGGGCAATGCTGTAGTATATCTAGGTTCATGTATTTGTGCTTTAGTGCAGGCTGAAGAATATTTGCTTGCTGACTTTTTGTAGACATAAACCAGATTACATTTCCTTGTTTTAAAGATTTCTAAGCTATATCTCCATTGATGTGGCAAACATACTCCTGACTGCATGCCTTTTGATATTTCTTCATCAAAAAATGATTTTGCACTATTACATATAAGAGGTACTGTACCAAATAAAGTATAACTAGCTTTGACACACTTTAAGGAAGTCACATATAATGCATTTTTAATTTTTAAATTGGCATAGACATGGGTCCACAATGTAAACTAGCATAGTTTGATTTTTTTTTTACTTCATTTGTTTTCGAGGTATTAATTTGGTTCTCAGTAGTATAATTGTTTCTCTGATACTTTCTTTTGTTTTCTCCTTTACAGGTTATCAATGACTTGCTTGATCCAATAGGGCAAAATCTTAGAATAAGGGAAGATTCACAGGTATAGCTTATGACTATATGATATCAATGACTTTTTTCACTTGTTTAATATTATTGGTGAAAAAAAACAAGGTAGACGTCTCTCTGCTGGTCAAATTTATGTAGTGTTTAGCTGACTTTGTTTCATTCTAGATCACTTAGTAACCAATTGATCAGACATGTAAAATCAGCTGAATCTGTGACTAATATTGAGGCTTATGGTGTTTAGGAAGGTAGATTAGGAGGACGCTTGGAGGATTAATTTGCTAAAAACTATGGAGTAAAGTTGTCCATTTTTAATATCTTTGAGCAATTTGATCCTAATACTTCTGGTTAAATAAGCCACCTAAGGGTTTTTTAAACTGAAAATTCCAGGTTGTTAGATGTGCAGTCAGATGTGAAAGGTGAGTTGCTGGGTTCAATTTAACTGATTAGTTAATTAATTTTCTGGATACATAGTTCACAGAGATTTTAGGTTTTAAAAAACTGATATGGTACACCTGATTCCTGTCAATATTGACCAAGTCATTTTAGTATTGGTCAATTTCTTAGCCTTATAAGCAGACATCATTCAGAATTGGCTAGCATCTTTGAACACAAAGAGTTGGTCTATTTGACCAATACTATCAATTTGACAGCCTCAAAAGAAGAAAAAGCAGAGGGGACAAGCATATTGTGAGGAAGAAGAAGAAATCTAGCTGAAGAAAAGAAAAGAAACTTATTATTATTAGCAAGGATTGAAATACCGTACTGTATCAGTGTTTCGAGCTTGGCTCAATATGGTACGGAACCATGTACCGAGCGGTATGCCAAGGCGTACCGAGCGGTACACCTAATTTAGGTGTAAATCCTCCGAAAATATCTGAAAATAAAAAAAAAGTTAGGATAGGGTTTTTAAGTTAGAAATAAATATAGTAATAGTATAAGTTTAGCAAAATCAATGTAAATTAAGTAAGAATAGTATCACAAATCTTTTTTGGGCTTTGAGGAATAGTCTTGTGCAAGATTCGTATTTTAGTTCGTTACGGATTGTTCTTATGTAAATATTGAAATATTTACAGAAAAATCATTTGAATTGTTAGACTATTTTGTTACAATAGAAACTCTAACATTTAAATGAATTAAATAATTACATGTGTAGATTTACCTGATTGCTGATTCTACCACCAAAATGAACGATGGGCCTCCATGGATAGTGGATCGGGGTCCTCGATCCTATATATCTGCATATTAATATGATATGCTTGTTCGACCCAATTATGAAATTGATCCCACGATATAGTGTATTGGTACATTGTATGCTATTGATACATCAATGTGGTGATGATCGTAGGTTGATCATCATGAAATTGATCAGAGCTTCTACTTCCGCTACTGATTTGCTGCTTTGTATCATACTGTTGCTCATAGAAGGATGATCAACTATCACTGTACTGCTGTTGCCCGTATAATTCTCCATAATACGACGGTTGTGAATACGATGAGCTTATTTCTATGTCTACATCATGTAGGCTCTGTCGCATCTGCTCAAATTCATCTACTGCCTTCCCTTTTGTTAGGACTTTAGCTAGGAGAGTCCTAATTGAAAGGGGCATTCACGTAAAACCTCCCTAGCCGACCCCTATTAAAGAGGTGAAGAGGCCGGCTAAGGATATAATTAGTTTGGAGGTTGCTTCTTAGAGAAGCATTAGGAGTTGGTTAGAAGTATGAGTCTTGAGTAGGAGTCCTAATTGAGTAGGAGTCTTGAGTAGGAGTCCTATTAGGAGTTGGGGTTTAGAAGCCTTATAAATAGTCATGTATTCATCCTCTTTTGATAAGAAATAGATGAATTTTTTCTATAGCCTTTGAGCAGCAACTTGGAGGAAGGAACCCCTATAGAGTTCCAAGGAGGTCGATCCCCTAAAGAGATCAACCCCGAGCTTAGAATCCGCAAGGGTTCTAACACCCTGACCCTTCCTCTTCTCCTTCCGTGCATAAACTTGACCAGTATCTTGTCGAGTTCCATGATCTGAATCTTGGGTAGCATATGTAAAATATTGCTCCTCGGTCCATACACCACCCTCAAGTTGTGTAGACGAGACTAATGACTGCCCGACATCGTCGCCATTATCTGTTAAGGCACTGCTGTCCGTGTTGCTATCATGTCTCTGGACCGAGCGAGTCGCTAAATGTGATTGTGAAGGTGTCTCGTCGCCCGACTCGATTCTTTCAATATTAAAATGACTAATTGTAGTAATCAATAACTTTAATAAAACCTAATTAAACTTATTTTACTATCATAAATATCTTTCAATATTTAATATGCGTGAAATATAAATATTTGACCTATTAAGTGTCTAATTTCGAATTAATCAATATTAAACACACTAATCATAATATTAAAGATCTTAATTACTCTCTAATTAACTTCGTTGCCCTCTTGCGACCAAGGTTATACTTAATACTCTTCTCCTCCTCGTTCTCTTCCTTCACAACCTCCTCTTCCCCCTTCCTCTTCCACCTTTTTCCTCCAAACCTAGAGTTTAGGGATTTGTTTCCAAACCTAGAGGATCGTTAGTGTTACCGAGAGCAAAATGTAATGCTGCAGCAGAGCAGAATGCATGTCGGTGAGACTGATGCCAACGAAAATCGCGATGGGGACGGGATTTGCCCCCTGAGTTGGCTGCAGTGACGTCGATGGAGAAGCTGTTGGTTTTAGAGCAACGCTCGAAGTCAAGGAGAAGGCTCGGATGGGGGAATGGTAACGCTGTTGTAGGTTGGAGGTGGAGGGGATTATGATTTTGTAGAAAAATCCATATGTCCTATGATTGGGATTAGGGCGACGAGACCTGGTGTTCTATGATTGGATTTTTAAACTTTTGCTTGCTCGTAACCCAAACTCCTGATCTGTATCACTCACGTGGGAAGACGAATGAACTGCTAGTTTGCGTGTCCATGAAACATTAGCCAACCAATTGTTGATCGACAGCTGAACAATTATTTGGGGGTTCATGCTGTTGTGAAGTATGTCTTGGAAGGCCATGATCGTGGAGTCAATTGGGCATCTTTCCATCCTACCTTCCCTCTTATTGCTTTAGAATGGTATGGTAACACGATATTAACATCTTTGTTAGCATCCTTGTCCTTCTTTAGGAGTGCAAACTGAAATTGTTATTTTCTTTGACGTCGAGAAAAATGAAATATTAGGAACTGCAGTCTACAGAAACTGATCTAATAGAATTCTAGAATTGCTTTTATTGTTTCCATCATATCATTTGAATATATATATACACACACACCCGTGTATCCTCGCTGTGTTCGAGTCCTAGTTTTTTTTTAAAAATGGTATGTCACTGTGTCTGTGTTGTGTCCGTGTCCGTGCTTCTTTGGTCAGTACATGCTGATGTCCCATATGTTGGGTACTTTTGATGTACTATATGTTGGTATATATCACTGTGTCGTACGTTTGTACATACCAGTATTAGATGGTACATGCCAATCTGGTGAAGAGCCGGTACAAAATTGCAGTCCTTAATCACGGTATTGCTCCAAGTGGCGTGCACAGGGATGTATTGGTGCATGCTAACATGCACTGCAGTGGTTCACATAATGCAATATGAAATATGCTTATGACAGGTAACAGTGTCTAAGACATGCCCTAGATGACTGTGGTTGCTGGCTCTAAGGGAAATCATTAACATATAACTGGGAACTTCATGCATGCCCTGATCATTGTGGTTTCTGTAATTAAAGGGAAACATTAAATTTGGTAAAGCACTTATATCGAGGAAGTGCCTTTCCTCGAACTTGTGATAAAATGAAAGATGAAGTTGTGGATACATGGCATGCATTTTGTTCTATGCCATTGACTACAATGTACAGATGTTTATCATTTGGTTTGCTTGAGATTTGTCTGTTTGCCAGTGTGAAGTCATTGTTATGATGCTGTATGCACTGACATTATTTTATATCAAAAGCAGATTTTGTTAAAGCGTATTCTGATTAGATTTAATTTACTGACAGTAGTAATCCATCATTTCCTTTCAGCTGAATTTTTGATTGTTCACGTCTCTGTGTCAAGCATCATGTTTTGATTATTATGGTCAATATCTGGATTAATGGTAATATGCATTTTTTTATTAAGATTTATTAAAGCTTCACTAAGTTCACAATGTTTGTCTGACATAAAGGGAACTTATGTGGAAGGAATTAAGGAAGAAGTGGTCCTATCTCCAGCTCATGCTCTTTCTTTGATAGCAACCGGTGAAGGTACCCCAATATAGTGAATTTTTAGTTTAGTTGTTAAACTCACTGGGTCTTGTAATATGTTTACTATAATTAAGAAGCTTCAACCAATTCCTTTCATTTTTAATTTCATCTTTTTGGTGCATAGGATTGACAAAATTCCTATCGCCTACAGAAGAAATTTTGCAGACCTTTATGTCCTATTAGCTATGTTGACAAGTGCAGTGATCAAACTGACTTGTTTATTCTTGTAACATTTTTTTTCTCATTATTTTGCTTGCTTTTGCTTTATACTGTTGTTTAATTGGTGTTGAGATGTTTATATGGTTTGTGGAAACCCATGACTAGTTTCCTTGTAGTTTCTGTGAATCCTTGCTGCCATTGTGTTGTCTATATTTACATAAGCAATTGCCATGGTTGTCATGATTGTTTTTTGTCACTGGTATCATTGGTTACTGGTATGTGATCTGGGGACAATATTGGAGGTTTGAAGACTCATAGTAAGTTGCATTAGACTGAAAATTTTTGGTTATTGTTCACTTCTTTCAGCAAGACATACATATTTGTTGAGCAGGAATGTGACCATTAACATTGTATATGGCTTGAGCCTGTCATCCTCATTTCAGATTATGGAAAATGGAGCCTGAAATCAGTTTTAGATAATATGTATGTTTGTGTCTGCGAATTTCCTTGTCTATATGCATTCTTTGTCTTGCATTTGGTTTCTGTTTTTACTGGACCCTTTGTAATTATCCTTGGTGCTTATAAGTATTCATTCACATATTCTTTATTTTGTTTTCTTTTGTAAAGTTTGCTTTTTGATTATGTGGTCCTTGAATTCACTATTTAAGTCCTTACAGTCTATTGGCCAATTGTTTATGTCTTTCGGCTGATTTCGTGCCATTGACCTCAAAACAGTACTTTGTTGCAGAGCACAGACATGTTGGTTCTAATAATTTTAATCTAGTCAGCAGCCGGAGCCACACTATTTTCACCTTGGTAAATATCTTTACTATTTATCAAAGTGACTTTTACCAATTCTGGTTGTTTTTATTTCTTTTCCAAGCTTGCTAGACATTCATGAATTTTGTTTTCCTTAGAGTTGTCTATTGACGAGAACTTTGACTTATGGAGGATTCCTATGCTTTTTACAGTTCAACAACTTTCTGAAGCTTTAGAAAGCTTCGGTCGTGCACCTATGTCTTTAATGTTTATGTTCATTTTTCTTTATAAAATTTGGTTGTTGATCTATAAGTTCGTTGTCTTCAGTTTTTCCTTTGCCTTTGTATGCTTTGGAGAAGAAATGTGGAGTAAGGCAAATCACTAAGATAATCATCATATTTCATTGGTAGCTGGGAATATGATTCATTCTAGACTTGGTCATTATACATCTGGGGATAACTCATTACACAATTATTAGTTTGGATAAATTGGTTTTGGAGAATTATGTGAAGATTAATTTGGCCAAGTAAAAACTTCAACAATATAAGAAATGTTGTTGACTTGGAACAGATTTGGAACATATTTTAAGATATTACGACTTATGATAAAGGATGCAGGTTTTCAAAATGATGCTTGTTAAGTTTGTATTTGGGTGTGTAATTTTTCTAAAAGACTGAAGACCTTGAAGAGTACTGATAATATTGGATGTGTTCCCTGTGTGTGGATGCAAGTATTTGGTGGGAATTGAGTTCATATTGATAACTGATACAGCTGTTCTAATAGGATTCCTTGATATAAAATGGTAGGAATGAAGGTAATTAAATTATCGGCTGGAGAGAAAGCAGACACTGACGTAGTGCATTCTTATGTTTTAAGAACTCCATCACAATGCAGGTGATAGGTCTTTGCTTGAGACAAAAGAAAAACCAAGAGAAGCCTTATAGTCTATTCATTGGGAAACTCGCCAGACCATGGTTCTTGTCCTAGCCATTTCACCTTTTTTTATTTGGTGTCAATGTCCTTAATTATTCAAGATTTGCTTGAAGGGACATGTTGCATTAGGATTCCTTCTCATTGGACTACCTCAATCTATCTTGACCCAGCTTGTCTCTGATTACTGCACCCACAATCTTTAGATGGTCACAGAAAGTGTCAGATTAGATTCTCAAAATAACCTGCATGACTTTGATGTATTCTAGTGTCATTGATGATGAATACATATTATTTATTCATAAGGTGTCCTTTTGTTAGCAACCTAGATTTTCACCTAATTAGTAAAAGAACCCCTGTACATGATTCTAGTGCCAGTCTCTCTGATGTGGGATCTGGGGATGGCTAAATTTACTTAGCTTTAGTTTCCTATATGCCTGCTGGATTCAGTTTTGGCAACTTGAACATGTGACATCTGATCTAAGTACTCTTTCATTATACCATGCTTTTGTTACTGGGAAACCGGTTCCTTACTGGATATCAGTTTAGCATGACCGTTTTACTTCAGAAATGATTAAGTATAAGATGTGAGTTTTTTGTTAAAATACTAGATATGTCTTGATGCTATTTGATTCATGGTCAAACACATGTTTAAAAGCTACATTGAAAGCATTTTAGCCTAAGACAATCCGGAAGAAAATAACTGGTCTTGAATAGTGGGTTGTTTCTTTTTCATCCACCTTAGTAATTTATATGACCTAGTTGGCTAGTTTATTTCAAACCAACAAAAAATATGTTCTGAGAAAGCCTTAAGGGAAAGATATAGTGTAACCGTCGTGCATTATAGTTTTTGTGATCAATATTTTCTTATACAAATACCATTATGTGTAGTCAGGGTTTATATTGATAATTAGATTATGCAAAATAACAAATACTGGCACAACATGATGGATTCTTGTGAGTTCAAATTAGATAACCACAATCTTTTGTCCATAATCTTATAGTGCTAAAGTTTTTATCTAATGCCAATTTGTATTCAAGCATGATGTAAATAAGCGCTGTTGGATCTTGGAAACATGCTCCAATATGGGATATCGTTTGGCTTGAGTAATGTTATTTGTAGGTGCATATGCTTGGAAAATTATGGATGTTGGGATCTATGATTTTTGGGATGTTTTGAGGTTTCTGCGTTGAAGTAATAGATTTTGGGTTATGATGGTGTGTTTAGTATTATTTTGGAAGCCAATGAGGAAGATTCACAATTTTCATGTACCGGTAGTGTTGTGCAGTTTGTTGGACCACACAGTACCAATGTATCTAGTGTTGTTATGTATTGAGTTTTGGAAAAAAAAAAAAACCAAAAAAGCTGAGAAACAACAAAACAAATTGCTCTATACAAGGATTGTACCAGGTGCATTGGGCGGTACAGGACCAGTATCTGATGGTGCAAGCCCTGTACAATATGATATATCCTGCTCAGCATACCAGTAGGATGTTGGATTGATAATATTGCTTGTACCAAGTGGTGTTTTAAAAATCTTGCTAATGAGTGAATGCAAGGTTCACAAATATGGTATGTCACTCCTATTTGGAGTTTGGTACATATATATATATATATATATATATATATATATATATATATATATA